CATTATTTTTATAATAAAGCTACAGACAAGCTACTTAACTATTCATAATTATAATATTAACTTCACAACATAACACAGCAACAGTTTCAACATACGAAAATTCAACAGTTTACGAATTTTACAAACAATTTTTTGTGATGTTAAAGTAATTCCTCTATAACCGACATAAAAAAACAGTTCTTGATCAGCAAGTATTTTTTCAAAATCGATCGCCTTTATATAATTTACTTTATTCATTTGTTATTATTCGGTTATATGTGGAAAAACTTTGTCAATCATTTTAATCACTATTCTAATAAGTCAAGGCTTACATATTAATTCAAAAGCGAGTAAAAAATATATATCAGTGAATAGTAGTATTCAATTTCATTTTTGCTTATATAAAAATCCTGAATTGCACGGATAACAGATAACACAATATTACTTTTTTTGACACATTACAATTTTTTTTATTAAAATTTAATTTAATTTTGATATTTTTCCATTAAACAAACTTACCGTAAACATTATTTTGGTTCCCGTGAGTTACTATATTTTCAATTTGAAAAAGTCAGTCTGTAAAATTCACTCATTCTTTTCGTGAGGACACACGACGTTGGTGATCGAATAAAAAAATATATAAACAAAGTTAGAAATATTTATTTTATGTTCACACGTAAAATGACTGGACTAGTATCAAAACCTTACATTTTGTCATACAACAGTATAGTAGTTAATATTGATGTAATAATTATTGTTTTATCAAATGGACTTCACCCATAAAGACAAATTCGACAAAAATAACATTATGATATATGAAAATACATTTTTCATAATAATTAAATCATAAAAAATTAAAAAAAAAAAAAAAACACATGAAATAGAAATGGTGCCTTTTCTGATAAAGTGTTCTATTTTCCGTTCGAAGTAAAAAGTATTTTTTGAATATATCAAAATGGGGCTCTTTTGCATCAAAATGTATCAACAATTTTTTTTTTAATTTGAAAATTTGCTTTATTTGACTCAATTGTATACACCAATTTAAATCTTTATGTAAAAATCAATGTATTTAGTCAAGTCAAATAAAGAAAATTTTCAAAATTTAAAAAAAAAAGGTGGTGCGATGTTGTGCGTTAACATAAGGCTGCATTAAATAAGTTCAAAATAAGAATATAATATTTTAAATAGTGTTTGCTAATAATTAGTATAAATAATAATTATCATTTTTCTATATTCGATCGCAAAGGTCTCATCTCCTCGATTTCTTACATATAATTTTTTTTTCTCATTTCTGAAAAATTTGAATATTAGAAAACCTGATTATAAAATTTTCAAAAGCGATCAAAAACTGTAGAAAAAATATTTACTGGAGATTAACTTTCAAGATAGACAACGATTAATATTTAATACTTATGTCCTAAACAAACTCATCGATATGTTTACTCACAACTGGTACTTTGTTAAAAAGAGAACTATTCAGAAGATGATCGTTAATCTATCAGAACATTTAATAATAATTATTAACTATTTGATGTAAAGAAACAATAAACGTCATGAAAAAAATTATTAATTGGACAGTTATTTAATTGTTAAGTGTTGCAGTCAAGTCTTTTATAGCAAATCGCCTACTTGAGTAATAAAAACTATAGTTTTCTATAAATCTATTGTACCTTAATTCAATAAAATAATTTACCTACTAAAAATTTGTTTTCTAAATTATTTCCTTTACTGAATATTTGATAAATTGTTTTCTTTAAATTTTGATCAATTTTATTTAAGTTATTTCATTCATTGTGCGTTATTTATTGAATAAATTTATAATTTTTATTAACCATCTGTATACATTGCTAAATGCTTATTTAACTTGCATTGTTTGAGTAAACATGATCGATGTACTCGTAAATCTTAATGCTAACATCATTAATAATATCCAGTTAAGTAATGCTTATTACACTAATTAACATTAACATTTATGAATTCAAAACAAAACAACCAAGTTAAATATCATGCTTTGAATTTATAAATTAAGTTTTAACTATTGCCTAAAGATTTCTTTAAGCAATCTATTGTATAATTAATATTTCACATAAACTTAAGAGCAAATGAAATGTTTTACAGCTGTTTGAACTGCAACAAAATGATTGATTCGAGTATACAATTAATTTATTATAAGTGATCAACTATTATTGTGAACTCAAAGCATAAAATATTTTATTCCAACAAATCCAAGGCATTGTCTTAAAAATGCAACTATTATTAAAACAAAGATAAATTCAATAAAGAATATAGAGGCAAAAAAACTAACATGTAAAATATAATAAACGTGAATAATAAAAAATGGAGGTACATAAAGTAAAAATACAAATTAATATTGCAAACAGATTTAATAATAATAATAATGTATAATGAATAAAATGTACAACAGAGTATATAATAATAAAAATAAACCAACTATATCGTAAAATTGGTAAAAAATAATTTAATTAAAGTAATACTATGTAGTAGCTGTTTTATACTAAGCAATGTAAAAGAGTATAAAACAACATAAAAACTAGACAAAATTAAACACATAACATATGATAAATTCAAAACAGTTTTTATTAATTAAATGCTATTTTATCCTAAATAAATGGCAAATTTGTGTTTAATATGAATGTCATTGCTTAGCAACTAACGTCGTTATTATCAAAGGAATATATAATGTTTGTAGATTTTCCTTTTATAATGATTGTTTGTAGATAAAATAGAATCAATAACTGGGCCTTCTTACTATGGGGTATTGAAATTAAAATCAATTTTACATACACAAAGTATCAACAAATATACGTAAATAATAAATTAACGTTGTGGTACATAGGAATCTGCTGTCAATTTCATATTTTAAAAAATAAACAATAATTAAAATTATCGTAGTTATATTATATAAATTGAATGTAGCCATATAAAATGAAGTACCTCATTATCTAAAGTGCTTTTAAATGAGAAGAATTACATTTGATGTAAGAAAATCAATGAAAAGAAAATTATAAATATTATAAATATATTTTCAGTATTGTTTCTGAATTTTGTGATTTGAATGTATGTTATTGAAAGTAGAGCGACAACCATACTACAAAACACAAATGATATAAGATGAAATAAAAAAAAAACTATTTAAACTGAAACATCGATCATATATTCTATATCTAGTAAATACAAATAAAGAAAACACAACAATAACTCTTCAACATTCGAGTTCATATATAATAATAATAATAATAATAGATTAATAATATGCAATAATAGTAATATTATTAATAATGATCAAGTACGATAGTAATAATAAAAAAAATGAAAAGTACTTAAAGCAAATAATTATAGCAAAAATTTGTGAAACAAGTTTTTTAAATAAACCATCATAACAAAAAAAAATATTATTCACATTTAAGAACGGACAGACATAAGTGCGAATAGTCGCACCAAATATATAAGTTGTCTGAAAGTGAAAAGAAAAATGCAACTTCAATTTGCGGGATTAAAATATAGCCCCCAAGAACATATTCATTAACAAGTCGCATCTAATCTTTTCATTTTGTATTAATCCTAAGTTTATAATAAATTTATATAAAAAATAAATTATTTCAACAGAATAAGAAATATAACAAAATTGACCATATTCACCTCACACATGTACTTATGATATCTTCAAATGGTATAGTGAATTTCATAAACAATATGTATATTATAACAAATATGGATCAAAGTCTATATGCAGGTGACTGAGAATTTTGTGATGGCTATTTTTTGTTGAATTATTTATGAATTTCAATTTACCATATAAAAAATTTAATTTACAATAATCGAAATTCTCCAATAATATGCGTAAGTTTATTAAGTAGTATTTCTTGATTTCTTTTTCGATCACTGTATTTAAATTTATGTAGAATCTGAATCAATACTTTTTTGTTTAAACAAAGAAATATTTAGAATAATTTTTTTTTGCCATTTCATAACAAATTAACATTATATGACCAGCAATTTTATGCAATAAGTACAATTAAAATTAATTGTTTTACTCAAAAGTAGGTTATCAGATTCAGTTTGAAAGTCACTCATTCCATTATTCTTCCGTTTTCTAATTCCACAAAATATCATATGACCAAAAACTAACAAAATTCTACGCTATTCAACCAAGGCCAAAAAGACCTGCTCGTATATAATACTGGTTTCAAAATTTACAAATATATATAAAAATGAAAAAACACAACATATATCATATATAATATATACAACAATAAGTTTTCTATCTGGATTGAAAATCAAACCATTATTTAAGCTACTTACAAATGAACTGTGAGAAAAAACAAAAACGATCACTTGTATTGTTTAAATCAAGCTTCAGTCAAAAAATTCAAAGGGTAAACAACAAAGTTGTAAAATCAATTAAAAAAAATTAAAACCCATTAAAATTTTTAAACATAACTAATATTCATACAAACAATACGGTCAATTTTTTAAAAAATATGGGTTTTGCCAAAGTTTTTTTTAACATGTCAAGAAATTGAAATAGCAAAAGGTTAGCATGTTAATTAAATCAACAAATTCCAAATATTTCTTAATTATGACCAAGTCAAATTATCAAAACCAAAATCCTTTGAATTTTCAATTAAAAATAATATGAATTCTTTCTTAGAAGAAAAACAATACAAGTCAGAGTTTATGAAATTAATGAATTTGAATAATGCAAAATTCTACTATATGTGTTGAAGTTGCATAATTGAAATTCAGGACTACGATACTAATATGTTAAAACAAACTAACTTTTAATATCAGATCCAATTTTAAACAAATCCAGTATTTGTGATTTGCAAATTCCTGGTATAAAAATTTAAAAAATATCTTACCATGCGCATTTAAAGGAATCATTGATCTTGGTCCAGAAATTATTTCTAATTTATGTGTATGAGATTTTTCTAAACTATCATAACAAATCGGATGAAAAACCTAGCTTTTATAATTTCTAAAAAAAAATTAAATTGGCAAGGAAATGCAATAACAATAATCTCACTTAGAACACATAACTCCGATGTTATCACCCGAAAATTAATGGTTTTGTTGAAACAGATGTATGAGAAGATTTTTTAAATACCTGACTTCTCTATGAAACATATTTCAGTACATTGCATTGATAGTTTTGAAGTTTCGTAAAGCGATGAACCAAGTTACAAATCTGATGCCACTGAATTCTTGTAGGTTGGTGAGTTACAAGCCCAGAACAGGCACCTGGACATACCTACAAAAAAACATATATGTGTTTTATTACAGTTAAAATGATAATATGTATATTAAAATTAATATTATATCAAAACAATATATTAGATCTGCACAAGTTAAAGATTTAGCTTAAGGTAACAACAATAATTGTAAGGTGTTTGTTTAGAACTAATGGACAAGTAGACCCCAGTGTTTGTTACCTTAAAATTTAAAATAAATAGATTGTTATAAAACTACTTCTGAAATATTATCTATTTAATAATAAAATTTAATAGAAAAAGCTTATGATTTGTTTTGTTCAATTGAAGTAAAAAAGTACTATACATTTTTATAATATAATTTCAAAGGTTGAAATGTCGTACCTATAGATATAGAGTCGGTAGTCCTTGCTAGCCAGGACGACGCTGCCATCGTCCATTAGCGCAACATCGAAACATTGGGCGTGCTTGACTTTGCTCTCAAGCGCCGAAACCAATTGACCATCCTGAGTGAATACAGTCAAGTTGAAGTTGTTGTGATTGTCCGCAATCAGAATCTCTCCAGCAGCATTTATTCCTACGCCAATGGGGTAATTGGTGATGCCTTCGCCACCTATTTGTCTCAAGTACACCCCCTCATAGTTGAACACTTTTACGCAATGCGCTCGATTGTCGGATATGAAAATTTCTTGTTTGTCGTTGACGACAACACCATTCGGGAATTCCAGGTGCTTACTGCAACCAAATTTCTGCAAAACGTTGCCCGTTTGGTCGAAAATTATCACGCGCATTACCTATAAAAACAAATTTTTATATAAAAAAATAGATGTTGAAATATAGAAGTTCTTGATAATTTACCTTGCACTCAACAACTATTATCCTTCCCTTATTGTCAACAGTAACACCTTCTGGGATGTTGTAGAATATTAGCGCCAAACTTTCGGACAAATTGACCATACTGGTTGTAAATCTGTATTTGGTGCGTGGGCGATCTTTCAGTGACTACTACATCTCCAGATGTCCTTACAGCAGCTACTCGATTCGGGTATAAAAGTTGGCCGTCGCGTTTACCGCATTCACCAAATTGGAACTTGAACCTACCTTCTCTATCAAATATCTGAATTCTATGGTTATTTGTATCTGCTACAATAATGTCATTTTGCGCATTTACAGCTACACCACTGGGTTCAGTAAATTGACCTGAAAGTAAATAATTCGGATTTGAAATACTTTATATGAGAAAAAAATATATATAAGCAATAATAACATTGAAAATTAACTTCATAATGAAAATTGATTCCCGACTTCAAATTCTATGAAAGTAAAGATCATGAATCGATCTTCATTGTAATAAGAATAATTATTTGTGCCCAAAAATTGCAAACATCGAAATATTATATGTCTCCCAATTATTATAATTTATATCAGTCCATAGACATTTTATGAATAATGATGCATGAAAAAATTATTAAAACCGTAATAAACTTGAACATAATATATTTTTAAGATTATTTTACCTTCCATTACACCAAATTCTCCAAATTTGCAATGGTAAATCATTTTTTGCCTTTTGATTTGAGATTTTGGTGGAAATACTGAAGCTGACATTAGTTTTGATGTAAGTTCTAAGACGCTGTTTGATTCTATTCCGTTCATTATATTATTGGTTGATGGAACTGGTGGTCCTAAAAAAATAGAAGATTTAAACAATTTTCTTCAACTAAATAGAAATTCGTAACTAAACATTATAAACATATTCTATCAATACATACCAATTGTATATTGATCAGAGAATATACTCTCACAGCCGCCATTTGACCATTTTTCGTAGGGATTCACCTCAGATAATGTTGTTGAGAATGGTCCCAAACTATTAGCTGAATTAAATCGTTTTGAGATTATTATTGCACTCGAATGGATTATTTGACACCGATGTTGGGGGTGCTATAGTTGTTGCAAAACTTCTCTCAATTATACTATTACCAGTGCTAGAAGTAAGAGTATTGGAGGAATGCAAAGAATTAATTGAATTAAGAGAGTTGAGAGCATTGAGATGGGAAATGCCATTTAAGCTTCCAGAACTGCCATTCAATGAAGTAGTTCCACTAGATGTGTCTGATGGAGAAGTATTATTTGTACTTAAATTAGAAGGAACTGGTCGAGCTATTGGTGCCTTTTTCTGTGATTGGTTCGATGACGGTTCTGAGTTGGAACGTATATAACCAAACGTATTTCTCACGCCGACCTAAAAGGAAAAAGAGTATAAGTTATTGTTTAACATATTAATTAATTAAATCGGAATTTTATATTTTATTTATATAATATATATATATATATATATATATATATATATGAGAAAAAATTATTACCTGAATGGCTTGATAGTTTGATACGAATTCGATTCCTGCTGATGGGCAAGTGCAGAATTCACAGCTAGTTCTCCAGCTGTACATAATGAGTTTAATTTCTGATCGAGCAGCTTACGGAATACAAGAACTTCTGAAACAGTGGCGCGCCTGGTGAGCTTATCTACGAAATCGCAAACTTGTTGGATACGATCTGCTGCTTCAGTTCCTGTGCGAGCAAGCGACGCTAACGCTGTCTGCCTAGAAGCTGAGACTGATTCAAGTTCGCGCAGCAACTCTTGCTTGCGCTCCTCCAGCATAGATCTGTAGAAAGAAATACAGAATTCAATGAACAATATTACCAATTACACATTCACTTAAGGGGGTCTTCCTATGTGATGGGTTGAAAAAATCGATTTTTTTTTATAAATTGCTCCCTTAACATGTCTAGAATACGGTAGTAAAGCGATTTTAGAAAATTCGAAGTCGTTTTAAATATACAGCAAGTAAAAGAAAGAGCGGTTCGGAGCGCTGAGTTGGCAGTTAAGAGCCCAGGCCTATTGTGTACCGTCGGCTTTATACCCGGCCTCCCTTTTATTCATATATCCGTTTATACAAGTTTAGACACGTTTCTATAGATTTAAACCAATAAAGGAATAGGAAGAAAAGGAGCAGGTAAACTTACTGATAAAGTTATCCAAGAAATTACAAAATTCTATGGATTAGCAATTCGACGCCATCCAGATTCGCTTGAAGATATGAGAAAGGAAGTTTGGGCGACGTACTATCACAAATGTTCTTCTGATCAAAACCCTCAGCATCAATTTTGTCCAGAAGGCGAAGACAGTTGGTTGGTGTAATGGCGTAAGGCTGAAGCTAATAATGAACTGGACCAATTTCATCACGATAAACCACCTCTAATTCCGCAAGTCCAAGAAGCTATCAAACGGTTTTCGAAGATTTATCGAAAGACGAATTATTAATTCGTTGTTTAGGAGCAGAGACACAAAACAATAACGAATCTTTGAATTCTTTGATTTGGACTTTCGCTCCTAAACATCTTCATTCTGGTCCCAGAATTGTTGAAATTGCTAGCTACTTAGCAGTTATTATCTTTAATGAAGGTTTTCAAGGTATTTTAAAAGTTATGTCGATTATGGGATGCCCTGTTGGTCGTGAAGCCCAAGCAAGTATGTAGAGAACGGGATGAAAAGAAATCTTACGTTTGAACAGTGATCGTTAACGTCTGATTGACTCAAGAGCTTTACAATCTGCTTCAAAAGAGTTTCACAAGAGAGGAAGAGAAGGAATTATCTATGGACCAGGCATCGCCGATTGAGAGAGTAAGTTGATATTTTAATAGTTTTAACGGACTGAAACTTTAAACGCGTTTTTATCAAAACTGTGTTTTTCAAACTTTCCTCCATTGTATCTCAGAAACGGCTAGACCGAATTACTTGAAATTTACAGGGCACTATACATTTAAACGCATGGAATGAACTATTACCAATCAAAACTTTCAAAACTTCGATTTTTTTATAGCAAAAACAAAAAAAAACGCCTAATTTGCAACTTTTATTTCAAATGTCTATCAAAAATCCCATTTTTTATATTCATTTGATTATAGGTCAATTCCGTTTTTAAGCCTACAAATTAAAACGCCGTTCAGCCGGAATCGTGGAGGAGAAGTGGGAGCTCTTTTTTCGAGGCGGGGGTGTCAGAGCGCTGTAACTCTAGTTTGACTGAATATTTTTAGCTGAAATTTATATTTATACTGTCCAAATATGTGGTAATAAATGATAAAAAACTTGAAGCTCTAAATATTTACTGGTCGTAGAAAAAAAATCCTAAATATCCCTAAAAAACAAGCTGTCACATAGGAAGACCCCCTTAATTAAACTATTTTCAGGATACTAACCTGTAGAATTGGAAAGTATCATTGATCTCGTCGGTTTGCTTTTCGCTGCTGTGTCCGACACGACAACTGAGCGTGTTCCGCACGTGCAGCCTGTGTGCGCATATCTTGAGCTCGGTCTCGAGCCTGCTGCGCGCTGCGCAATAATTCGGCAAGTTGTCTGGGACCTGCTTCTTGGAGCGGTGTCATCTCGTGTGAAAGATGTTCGCCGATATTTGCGCATTCCACACAAGTTGGCACCAAACAAGGCTGACAGAACAATGTAAATTGCTGCTTGTGTCGTGGACATGTAACTGTGGACCCATTCGTTGCTGCGCCTAATAAACGAGATCCTAATGCGCTCAAGCTTTCTGATAATGGACCTGGAATAAAAATTATATAATTGTGGGGAAATCAAGCAGGCTAGTGATTGTAAGAAAAACAATTAGACTTGTCATATTTTCATATCATTAATTTTTATAGTCAATAAATTTTATATATTTTTATACAAGTAGAGTTTATACTATTATATACATTACTACTCTAACATTGGTGACTCCGACGTGATGAGATGAAGACAAAGAAGGAGTTTTTTTTTTTTTGAGGATATAAAAAATATAGATTTTGATTCAGCGCCATAATCACTGGTCTTCAGTGACTACTTATAAGGTACGTCCAGTCCTCGGTTCATCGTAGTTAACGCACTTACTATCTGATACCGGACTTTCGTTGGTGTACCCATTTAGTATACCCAGACCTCAGTGTTTATTTCTGTCACAAAAAATAATTTGGAGCCTAGACTTTTCATTGGAATGCAATTCAACCTCTCCTTGTCCATTAACTCAATAAATCGTCTTTTGATGCATTAAATTTTGGAACTGCTTCTGTCGAGATGATGACTCTTTAATACGCTCTCCTTCGAATCACATCCGGTTCGAGAGTCCGATGTATGATACAAAGGGCTACTGAAGTCGGCAAGATTATTTTGATCATTGTGAAAATTCATATTCTTACAGAGCGCCATCTGTTTACCCAAAATATTGTAGAAATAAAAATTAATACAGTAGATCGTGGCTGAATCTTCAAAGTTCACCAAGACATCGAGGTTCAGGAAGTTCACTACATGACTTATATTCAGAACTATAAGCAGAGTTTGAAGATGATGGAAAGTCGAATTACCTACCATACGGTGGATCTGCCGACGAAACTGTCATTTATTTCTAATTGACCAGTATCACAACACTGGTATAATTTGTTTTCCCACCATTTATTCATAACGTGTTTTCCTGTATTTTTTTTAAACTGTGAGGTCAACTTTGGGCAAGGAGTGTGTGGGGAAATGAAGCAGGCTAGTGATTGTAAGAAAAACTGGACTTGTCATATTTTCATATCATTAATTTTTATAGTCAATAAATTTTATATATTTTTATACAAGTGGAGTTTATACTTTCATATACATTACTACTCCCACATAATGAATCCATTACATTTACATTCTAATATGACATGCGAAACACATACCGGTAATAGAATTGTCCTGATCCTTTAGATTTGCAACGTTGAGTACGCGGTGGCCTTCAAAACAGTGCATAAATTGATGAGCCATCACGCAGTTTGGACATAAAAAATTGGCACAATCTAAACATCTAGCTACTGCATCGGATTCACGACTTTTGCATCCAGTACATCTGTATCCTGCAAACATTATAAATACCATAAATTTCAATAATCACCTTTAAATAATTGCACAATAAGTTCTTTACAATAAATACCTTTAGCATCACTTTGCTGTGTTTGACTCGTTGCAAAAAGTTGATCGGCTTGACTGTTGACATTTAATAGATTATCTACACGGGTGAAATGGACGTTTGGCTGTGTGCGTCTTCATCCGTGGAATTAGCGCAGGAAGACGAACTTGATCCACTATTTCCAGCACTGTTACCATTGTTTCCACTTACAACATTCGGTATATTCCCTAAGAGCATTCCAAGGTTGGAAAGATGGTGATGATTTAGGTGATTTAAATGGTTGTCGGATGTTTCAAGAGATTCGGCAGACTGTGCCGAATCTAGTTGCTCGCCCAGCGATTCTAACGATCCGGACCGCGAGCCGGTCTTCATTTGAGCGGCATCCCTAAAAATAAAGGACATTGATTATATATGTATACCGAAAGGTTAATAATGAATATTTCAATATAAAAATTATTTTTTACATAAATCTAAATGAACATAAATCTTTACTCATCGCTATGGTGATGCTCATTACTCGGGCAAAATCTAAAATTACTATCGTTATTAATATTTCTATTCTTTGATTCTTAACCATTCTGTGATTCCTAAAGGTTACATATCTCTGAATAGAATTATGAATCAGGTATAATGACCTCTGCGTCTACGGGAAACAAAAGTCGATTACCTCAAAGGATGAACTCTACGAGACTCGACTTCATTTGTTCTAACACGAAAATATTCGTGTTTTGTGTAAGAAATCCAACAATGAAATGTGTAATTACGGAATTTTATCATAAATTATGAATATTACAACATTCTTATTATGACATATAAGAAACGCACGATATAATTGGAATGTCAAAAAAGATCAAATCAACAAAAAAGGAAACTAATTTAAATAGAAATTTTTGTTCTACATGTATTTCTTTATATTAGAAAAGCAAAACATGTAAATACATCTTGAAGATAAATCTAAACTATTAGTCATCAATTACTAACAATATGTATTGCATAAATCTCTATTTATTATAGTCAATGGTATTTATATTGTTGTTTTATTTGGCAGTATAGAATTGATTTTATTTGTGTGGTCACCAGAATGACTGCCAATCATAATGACACAAAAATAGCAATTAATTTAATTATAGTAAAATGCCAATAGAATTCTATTCAAGTATAAGTAGAACTCGTGAATTCCTTTTTTTATGATAGTAAATAATAGAAGATTGATTATGTCTTATTTTAAAACATTACAACTTTAAAAGTCCGGCTTATTGATTAACTTCTTAAATATTCCGAAATTATTATGTCGGCACATATATAAACAAAGCAGAAATGTATGTTTCTGATAACAAATATAAGTTAAGGCTTGTGTACATCTCTTATCAGCGGTCTTGCTGTAATATAAACATACTCGTTCTACTTCGTAAGAGCGGCCGCTTTTCATCTCTGTAAAGAAAACCAAACATTTGTTCCCGATTTCAGCATTGTAATACATAGGAAATCTGCTGTACATGCGGTACATTCGTTAACACGGCTTAGGTAAAATTAAGAAACTGATAAAGATATTCAATATCGCAATAGAACAGTTTTAGAGGAACGTATACTTTATATCTACAATATCAATATACTATATAGTAATATTTGTATTACATAAAAAAACCAGTTAATCATTCAGTGAGAATGATATTTGAATGCAGCACTAATGTTCCGTTCTTGACTATTGGGTCATTTAACTGTGAACTAATAAAATGAATCTAAATACAAAAAATATTGTTTAGAAAAATATGTTGATGTAGTATGGTTGATATGTTATCTATAAGTGCCGCGCTGTCTGCCACAATGCATGCTAATATGAATAATAAACATGTACTGTATATAATAACAAGCAACAAATCTCGGCTACACTATTATTTAAAAAAAAAATAACTTGCACTCTAACAAATGCTTTTGATATAAATGCAGACAGAATATGTTTGAGTGTGATCTATGATCTATGGTTCTGATTAGTTTGATAATTTCTATTTACTTTTATTAATATCTACAATAATTGCCCAAGCTTGGCAAATTCTAGAAAAAATAGGATTCTGACGTATACAGAAATCTTAGTACAAAAATTCTCAATTTATTGAACACCCAAGTGAGCTTCGTGAAAATGCAACAGTCTTTGACATGGATGTTCTGCCCAAACCCACAAAGCATCGAGCTATAATTTAATAAAATATATGCAACTGCATGAAAAAAGACGTGCATTATAAATCTGTCTAAATAATTGAAATTTTTAAGTTTAACTAGAAAAATACTAGAATTTTAAATTTTAACTCATAGTAAATCTTGAAGCAAAGTGTCATGTCCAAGGACGACATCCATACGCACAGCATATCATGTGGATGTCGTCCAGCGACGTCATAAATAGTGAAAGGGTTAAAAGAGTAGTTACGTTATAGATTATGATTTGAATGATATGAGCAAATTTAATTTATAATATATAAGCTCAATAATTTTTTGATGTAACTGAATCATATTAAAAAAATAACTAGCAACACGTTAATCGCCACTAAAATGAAAATATCAGAAGAATTTTAACCTGGGCCATGGTGACTTACTTCATTAGATAATTTAGTTAAAAAGTCAAGAAAACTTTGTGTCAAAGATTTTTTTTTCAAAATTATGGAAAAAGAATATTTTTATGTCACACATATAAACTGATAAGGCCCTTCATAAATTATTTGATTATATTAAAACTTTTTTCTCGACATATATGCCATACATAACTCATGTAGAACTTCTTAGCGTCAGACACATATGACTGACATGACTATTACGGCGATAAAAATATTCATTGTCAGTATGGAAGCATGTGTGGCACACGTATAAATTTGATTCACATACGAATATATACAAATTATCTACATCAATATTATGTTAATTAGTTACGCCGATTATTTCACTAGTTTGGTGCACGGTACTTCGATTAGGAAAAGATTAATAATAAAAAAATAGCGTAAACAGTAGCAACTTGTGGTTATTGAGGTAGTTAAACAACAACCAATTGTCGTAAAAAACATGATTACATCAAAACGAGCACGGCACGATTGATGGAAAAATACCAGTATTAAAAAATCTTTTGTGTATTATGTTGTATGACGCGCCACCTTCCAGTTCAAACAACTTTGGCTGTCCATTACAGATACGAACAACATTTCCCGGTATAAAAACATCGTTCAAACTCAATTTAGAAAAATATTTTTTTAATATCATTTTATATACCAAGCGGCACTCAAGAAAGGTGATATAATGATATCAAGATACCATATATGAAGACAAAGTATAAGCGTACTTCCCACGTTAGTAAAGGAAAAAATACAATTCTGCTATAACATAATTATGATTTAAGAAACTAATTCAATCATAAATGAACCTGAGAATTTAACGATTATTCACGGCTTTGTATTTCTTACCGAAAGGTTAATAGTAACGTGCGTTAAAAGAAACAGTTTTGGATTATGTAAAACTTTTCAAATTACTAAATGCAGGATAAAAACGGCATTCAATGTAATAAAAAAGAAGAATAAATAAAATATCAATCGAAGTTTTTAGAACACCAGATTGCAATTCAATCTATGATTCTAAAGAAAATTAAATTGAGAAAAACATTTCATTTGTTAGAATTAAAACCAAAACATACATAGAATGCAAAAATTATAATTATCAGCAATAAAAACAAATTACTACTAGTGGGGTGTATGGCATCGTGCCTTAAGGCAAATTGCTGGAACTTCCCGTACCGTAACGAAATGTAAGAGGAATACTGAATGTTTTCAAATAGATTTTTATTAATATTGTAACATTGTCTGATATTTATAAGAATGATATAAACTGAATGGCAAAGCTGAAATTATTTGTTTAAAGTATATTAGAACTATAATCAGAATTAAAAATAAAATCCGAATTATTTTCGATATACAAAAAATTTTTTTGAAAAAAAAAGTGGAACATTTTTTTTTTCCAAAATCAATTATTTTGTTAAGACGAGCAGAAAGTTCTTTGAATCATTTAAATCGGACGCTTAGTTCTCTCAAAAACTGCCATTTTTCACACATTTAGCTCCGTATCTTCGAAACGGCTGCCTTTGCTAAAAACATATTCCCAATCATTACTAATTGAATGTTTTTTTTAGATCATTCAAATCGGATGCTCCGTTCTCTCAAAATCTCGATTTTTATTTTCTGCACTCTTTGCTCTTTATCTCCGTAACTGCTGGATCTGCCTCTGCCAAAAACTAATCAGCTCATCACCCTATCAATAGGAATCAAATGTTTTTTAAATCATTCAAATCGGCTGATCCTTGCACCCGAAAACGTGACTGGAAATTTGTATCCATACATACATACACACACACACATCCATTTTTTCTGAGGTATGCCAAAATGTTCAGAAACCTTCAAAACGTCGAGAAATGTAAAAAATTTCAATTTCGATTTTCGGCCCATTACAATAACTTACCCTACGGGAAGTTAAAAATCACTAATAAATCAACTGTCCAATATCGAAAACATACAAAGTTGTCGCAATGTTTTTTTTGGGGATCTTGGGCCATGATTTTCTGAAATTTTGGGATTATGTTCATAATTTCAATATTTCACCATATCATTAATTTTTTCACTTTGAATTTTTTATGTCAATTAAAAAATTAACGACTTGTGCCAAAGCTTAATAAACAAAATTATGAAATATGACGAATGAAACCCTACATACCCGGACATCACTGGTCTCGATTGGTCTCGATTCAGACAATCTAAAAATTTGTTGATGTTCTATGATGGAATAAGCGCAGATTGATCGATTTCGCAAAGTAGTAGAAACTATAACTAAACTGACATGATAACCTTTTCAAAGACATGCCTAGGAGCACTCTTATCTTTTCGTGATTGGCATTTACCAAAGCTCAGCGAAGAGTTTCAACTTGCTGTGCAATACTTCTTGAACTACAATACGGACTTAAGTGTTCAAGCGCACTCAAATATACTCGATACTTACACCTGTTACACTTATAACAAATTTTGTAGTTAAAAACTCTATTAAATTTCCAACTCAGCTCTCAGATCATAGTATCTGTTGATAACATCATTAAATATGCATATATATAGATGCTTGCACGCACCGAACGGAACAGAAGTGAACAAATTTCATATAGGCATTGTTGAAGAGGGCATTGTTTCAAATCACAAGTGTTTCCGTTGGACGGAAAGAGTCAAGCGCCGCCCGTGCGAAGCCTTGAACCCGGCTGCGTACTATGACTGCGGTCTACGACACATTGCGAGTTTCTCTGGCGTAATAATAAATGAACTCTATGCTATACTTGTATTATAGTTATTTAAATTATCGCAAAATAGGTATATCAAGGTAATAAAATGTTTATAAATATGTATAAATAAATTCAACACCTCGATAAGGAAAAATATACGTATGAAAAAATCTTGAAATTTTTTAATAATCTACTCTGAAAATTGAATCTGGATGATTTGCTAACCATCATTTACATAATATATCTAATGTAGAAGATTAACCTGGTAAGAACATATTCTAATTGGC